ATTGACTATCTCCTGTTTCAGGAATTTACTTGAATGATTCATAGAACTTGAGAAGCACCACACTTAGAATTGTAGTTCATTAAATAAGGATGCAGATTAAAGCTAATCAAGTGACATGTGGCATAAAATCTGAGAGAGTCCCAGTGCAAAGCTGCTGGCTGTCTTTTCTCTGTGGAGTCATCAACAGTGCTACCTGGTCTAGGTGAGTATTACTACTCAAGTTGACTAGTTAAAAAGGACTGTCAACCACAGAAATTCACCACAGCTTCTGTGTCCAGTTTGTATGGGTGTTTCATGATACTGCTTGTGTATTCACTTTCAGTTTTTAGAAGATTAGGCTAATACATATAGTGTCAACTCTCCTGTCAATCTGACAGGAGAGCCTTTCCTGACCCACCAGGCAAACAAAGATAACACCTATCAGGCAGGGCATTCTAGGGCCATCTCCCAGTAATTGAGGGCAAAAGCCAGTCCATACACATCTGTCTAAACATAGGAGGGCTGGGAAGGTGGCTCAGTGGTAGAGTGCTTGCCTCACATGCATGAAGCTCTGGGTTCGATTCCTCAGTACCGTATAAACAGAAAAAGCCAGAAGTGGTGCTGTGGCTCAAGTGGTAGAGTGCTATCCTGAGCAAGAAGAAGCACTAGGGATGGTGCTTAGGCCCTGAGTTCAAGCCCCAGGGCTAGCAAAAAACAAAACAAAACCAAACCCTCAAACACTGCTTTTAGCCGGGTGCCAATAGCTCACGCCTGTATTCCTAGCTACTCAGAAGGCTGAGATCTGAGGATCATGGTTCAAAGCCAGCCCAGGAAGGAAAGTCCATGAAACTCTTATCTCTAATAAACCACCAATAAACTGGAAGTGGCTCTGTAGCTCAAGTGGTAGAGCACTAGCCTTGAGCTGAAGAGCTTAGGGACAGCGCTCAGGCCCCGAGTTCAAACCCTATGACTCACACACACACACACAACAACAACAACAAAGATAGGATAAATTATTTTATTGGTTTGTTGTGTTTATTTATTTTTGGAGATAGGTTCTGGCTGTGTATCCTAAGTTGGCCTCAAACTCTCACTCTTCCTGTTTCAGATTCCTCAGTTTGGGATACATTTTTGAGTAGTTTCTTTATCTTCTCCTTGGTGAATACATTACAAGTATATGGGAAAATATCCATTGTGTCTGTTTATTTCAAAAGAGCTTAATACTCTTCCTAACAAGTAGGTAATACTTTTAACTCTAAAAACAAATATTTTCTTACATTTCTCACAAGTAGCAATCTGGATTCAGATTGTAGATGAAAGGGGCTGGGAAGATGGCTCAGTGATAGAGCGCTTGCCTTGCATGCCTGAGGCCCTGGGTTCGATTCCTCAGCACCATATAAGCAAAAAGAAAAAAGCCAGAGTGGTGCTGTGGCTCAAGTGATAGAGAGCTAGCCTTGAGCTGAAGAGCTGAGGGACAGCGCCCAGGCCCAGAGTTCAGGCCCCAGGACTGGACCCCCCTCCCACCCCCCCCAAAAAAAAAATCACAGCTTCCATATTGTAGATGAACACAGGTTTAATGCTATTAAAAATATGTGAATGTTTGGAAAGGGAAGTGTTTTATTGTGTTTAGATTAGAAATGCAATCAGACGAGGTTCTTCAGAAGAAGGAAAAAAGAATTCTAAGAACTATGCAAAAGTAACATTCAAAAAGTTTTAGAAATAACAGATAACACATTGTTTTAGAAATTGTTAGAAGGGCTTGTAGAAAATGAGTAATTTAGTAGCAAAGAGACCAATTAGAAAATTGTGGAGATAAGATAGTAAGATAATGAAAGTAATGAGATGGCTTGTGAGAAAAAGTTTTTAACTAGGAGGGAATGTATTAGGTTTTTTCAAAATCTCAGTCTCTTAGTTTGTGTTAAGTGAATGGAAACAGTACTTTTTAAATATCTATCCTACTCTTTGATGTTCTACACAACTTAAATGTCTATTTTTTTATGTTTTCATTTCTGTCGGTACAAAGCTTCATGTATTTTCTACCTAATTTATAAACTCTGTTATAGCCTACTCATATTGGCTTGTTTTTATACATTCTTGCATTGTTTTGCTCACTTCAGTTAGTATATATTGGTTGCAGTGAGAGTTTACGGTGTAGCCAGATTGCTATTATGGTTGCCGAAGATTCAACGAATGTAAGATGTGATCCTTAACTCTCCAATTAAAAGACACAGACTGTCTAGTTGGATTAAAAGCAAGATCCTTCTATCGGCTGCCTTCATGAGACACATCTTGCCCATAAAATCAAACATTCTGAAAGTGAAAGGCTGGAATAAAATCTACCAAGCAAATGGCCCCAATAAACAGGCAGGAGTTGCAGTCTTAATATCAGATAAAATAGACTTCAAATTAAAACTAGTGAGAAGAGATAAAGAAGGGCACTACATACTAATTAGGGGAACTCTCCTTCAGGAGGATATAACAGTTCTAAATATCTACTTATCAGTGGAGAACCCAAATTTATCCAAGATACACAAATCTCACATAGATCCAAAGACATTAATTGTTGGGGACTTGAAAAAACTCAACAGAGGAACTTCAGATTTAAACAACTGCATAGACCAACTAGACTTAACAGACATCTACTGAATATTTCACTCAGCAGCATCAGAATACACATTCTTCTTAGCAGTACAAGGAACATTTTCCAAAATAGACCACATTTTAGGTCACAAAGCAAATTTGTCCAAAATCAGAAACATTGAAATTAGGCTGTGCATTCTCTCAGACCTCAAGGGAATAGACATAGAACCCATCACCAAAAGCCACCAAAGAAAGCCCTGTAACACATGGAGGCTGAACAACAACTGTTGAACCACCAGTGGGTCATGGAAGAGATAAGAAAGGAAATTCAAATGTTGATGAATTCAATAAAAATGAACACACAAATTGCCAGCTCCTCTGGGCCATAGCAAAGGCAATAATCAGAGGCAAGTTCATAGCTCTACATAGTTCCTACATCAACAAATTGGAGAGATCTGAAACGAACAACTTAATGAGACATCTGAAGCTCCTTGAGGAAGAGCAGCAAGCTGAACCTCAATTCAGTAGATGGAAAGAAATAATTAAATCAGAATTAAATGAATTAGAATCCAGAAAAACCATAGAAAGAATAAACAAAACAAAGAGTTGGTTCTTCAAAAAATTAACAAAATTGACAGACTCTTAGCAAATCTTATCAGAAAAAGAAGAGAACACACCCAGATAAACAAACTCAGAGATGAGAATGGAAACAACACCACAGAAACAACCAAGGTTCAGAACATTATAAGGGAATACTTCTCAAACCTTTATGCTAATAAGGTTGAGAACCTGGATGAAGTGGATAATTTCCTAGCAAATATCGACATGCCAAAACTAAACCAAGATGAGTTAAACCATCTTAACAGACCCATATCAAGCATCAAAATAGAAAGAGTGATAAAAGACCTCCCATCTAAGAAAAGCCCAGGACTGGATGGATTTACAGTGGAATTCTACAAGGCTTTCAAAACGGAACTCACACCAATACTCCTCTAACTCTTCAATGAAATTGAAAGAGAAAGTTCACTACCAAACTCTTTCTATGAAGCCATCATAACCCTCATCCTAAAACCAGGCAGGGACTCATCAAAGAGAGAGAACTATAGACCCATTTCTTTGATGAACATTGATGCAAAACTTCTCAACAAAATTTTGGCCAGTTGACTTCAACAACTCATCAAAAAAAATCATACACCACGATCAAACAGGATTCATTTCAGGGATGCAAAACTAGTTCAATATATGCAAATCAATAATCACTTCAACAAGAGCAAGGATAAGAACTACATGATTATCTCAGTAGATGCAGAAAAAGCATTTGACAAGATCCAACACCCCTTTATGATGAAGGCTCTGGAAAAACTAGGAATCTATGGAACATTCCTCAAGATAATAAAGGCTGAGTGTGACAAACTTATAGCCAGCATTATAGTTAATGACGAAAAGCTAAAGCCATTTCCCCTAAACTCAGGAATGAGACAAGGATGTCTACAGCCACTTATAGTCAATTTACTATTAGAATGTCTCGATACAGCTAGACAAGATACAAACATAAAGGGGATCCAAATAGGGAAAGATGAAGTAAAACTCTCCCTCTTTGCAGATGACATGATCTTGTATTTAAAGAATCCTATGGATTCCACTCCCAAATTACTTGAGCTAATTCGAAACTTTGGCAACGTAGCAGGGTATAAAATTAATCTAAAAAAATCAGTGGCTTTTCTGTATTCCAACAGTGAGAAGAGTGTGGCTGAAATCAGGAAAGCAACTCCTTTTGTAGTAGCACCACACAAAAAAAAATACCTAGGAATTAACTAAAGAAGTGAAGGACAATCTCTATAATAAAAACTTTTAAAATCTGAAAAAGGAAATTAAAGCAGAACTTAGGAAGTGGAAAAACCTCCCATGCCCCTGTATTGGGAGGATCAATGTCGTGAAAATGGCAATACTTCCCAAGGCTATCTACAAATTCAATGCGATATCTATCAATATTCCAATGAAATAGAAATAGAAAAAGCAATCCAAAAAATTCATATGGAACAATAAAAGACCCCGAATATCAAAAACAATCCTTAGCAGAAAGAACAGTGCTGGAGGAATATCAACACCAAATTTCAAACTCTACTACAAAGCCATAGTCATCAAAATAGATTGATACTGGCACAAGAACAGACCTGAGGACCAATGGAATAGAACTGAAGACCCCGAAATGAATCCACAGTCCTATAGCCACCTAATCTTCAATAAGGGAGCTAAAAAAATAGAATGGAAGAAAGATAGCCTCTTCAATAAATGGTGCTGGCAAAATTGTATAATCACCTATAGAAAACTAAAGTTAGATCCTTATATATCACCATGCACTAGAATCAACTCCAAATGGATCAAAGACCTCGAGGTAAAAGCAGACACTGAAAACATTACAGGAAGGATATAGGAGAAACCCTAGGTCTCCTTGGCACAGGCCAAAATTTTCTTAATAGAAACCCAGAAATACAACAAATCAAAGAAAGGTTGGGCAAATGGGATTTCATGAAACTACAGGACATAGCTAGCAAAATCAATAGAAAGCCCACGGATTGGGAGAAGATCTTTACTAGCCATACAGCGGACAAGGGTCTCATATCTAAAATACACTTAGAACTCAAAAAAGTAAATCCCCCCAACAACAAATCCTCAAAGAAACATTGCCCAATAAATAAGTGGGCTAAAGACTTAAAGAGAGACTTCTCTGAAGAGGAAATAAGATTGGCCAATAGACACATGAAGAAATGCTCAACTTCTTTAGCCATAAAAGAAATGCAAATCAAAACAACATTGAGATTCTACCTCACCCCAGTTAAAATAGCTATAATCGAGAAATCTGATAACAGATGCTGGAGGGGATGTGGCCAAAGGGAACCCTATTGCATTTTGATGGGAGTGTAAACTTGTTCAACCACTTTGGAAAGCAGTATGGAGGTTCCTCAGAAGACTCCACATAGGCCCAGCAATACTACTTTTGGGCATTTACCCAAACAGTCACAAACAAGGGTATACTAAAGCTACCAGCACAACTATGTTTATTGCAGCATTATTTACCATAGCTAAGATATTGAACCAACGCAGATGCCCCTCAGTAGATGAATGGATCAAGAAAATGTTTTATATATATAGTAGAATTCTATGCCTTCATCAGAAAGAATGACATCACCCCGTTTGTTAGAAAATGGAAAGACTTGGAAAAATTCTGTTAAGTGAAGTAAGTCAGGCCCAAAGAAACATAGGTCCCATGGTTTCCCTTATGTGCAATAACTAGTATAAGTCTAGGACAAGGAGAAAAGGTCAGAAGCTATGTACATATGAACATATAAGATGATGTTAAGTGCAATGAATCCCAAGATAGGGACACGAGGTTTTATCTTTGTTGCTGTTCTTCTTAATGTACTTATAATGTACTATGTGATTTTTTTTTTTTTTGTTTCTTTTGTATGTTCCTCCCCCATGGTATAACTCTTTCACTGTATTTGATTCTGGTGCCTTGTATATATACTTTTCTAATTTGGGGAGTGGAACGGAACAATCAAAGTGCTTAAGTAGGGCTACAAGTTGACCCATTTTAATAATCAGATGTACAAGACACTATGTTGAAAATGAGTTTTACAAGTTTAGCAGGGGAAGATGGGGGGAGAGTAGTTGGGGAGGCAGGGAAGGAAGGGATGGTAGGGAAAAAACAGAGGAGGAAGCAACAGTGCTTGATAGGAAATATACTCATTACCTTATATAATTGTAATCCCTCTGTACAGTATTTTTACAATAGAAAACGTCTTAAAAATTAAAAAACATGTGATCCTTGACCTTAGAAAGGATATAGGTCAATTCCATAATCAGAAAAACAGGAAGATCCTATTATGTAGGGACAGGCTACTATGATAGTGCTTCAAAGAGTATTTAGCCTAGATTAGTTTGTGGGAATGTGATACTCTAATTTAGAATATCAGTTAAGAATATGAATTCTGGATCTAGAATGAATTTGGATTCTCATTTGCTTTCTGATCATGGACAAGTTCCTAATTTCACCTTTTAAGATTTAGATGATAGATTATTATGAGATTGTAGTGCATTAATATATGTAAAGTGCTTAGAATAGTATCATACAGATATTTTCTGGGAGCTTGAACTCAGGGTGTGGGCACTGTCTTTGAACTTTTTGTTCAAGGCTTGTGCTCCACCATTTGAGCCCCACTTCCATTTCTGGTATTTTGTTGGTTAATTAGAGATATGGGTCTCAGGGATATTCCTTCCCAGGCTGGCAATCCTTAGATGTTAGCCTCTTGAGTAACTAGTATTACAGGCATGATCTACTGGTGCCCAGCCCTTGTATAGTTTTATATGTGTTACTTCGTTATTCTCTGACTCTGATTATCATTTTTAAAAATGTACATAATTGGTATTCAACAAACATTTGAGTAAATCTAAAACAGTTGAAAATGTAATTGCTTTTCTATTCCCTTAGAAGTCTTTAAACATCTTTATTAGAAGCATTTACTGTAAAATGACTACATTATATATATTGAGGTCCTTATTAGTTGGGAGTCAAAAATTGGTGAGTATCTAAAATTTTAAGTTTATATAATTCTTAAAAAATGCTGAATTTGACTGCTTGTAGATGAGAATTTCCTCTCTAGTTGATAATAGGTTTCACTAGTTCCTATTATTAGTCTAGTTAAGGTTTGTAGTCTGACACCTGTAGGCATCTGAGGTTAGAGTAGAATTACGAGGGAATTATAAGGAAATTTTGGTAAGAAGACTAACAATAATAATTAAAAAGCTGTATTTCTTAGAGAAAAAAATGTTTTTAGATTTTCTCAGATGGGATTCACTTGAAGTATTATTCCTACATTTAATTGCACTAATTCAGGTTAATGAAAGAACCAATGATAGTATTGGAAAACCTCTGTATATTTTGGTTAGGTGTTTTAATGACATAGTTGTTTAGGCATCATTGGTAAGTAGTAGTAAACAAATAATTGTTTTATAGAGAATGTAATGATGTTGATTTTGTGTTAAGCAAGATAAATGATACAGAACAATTAGTTACTAATTAGAAATATTTAGCAGATAGAGGAATTGATTATTCTAAACTTGAATTGGTTAGATTTTGGGAATGAAAAACACAAGATTAAGTATCTAGTTGAGTTCAAGTTTCCTTTTTCTGTGTGGTGGGAGAGGGATTGCTTAAGCAAAAACTTGGATTTTAGGGAAGCAGTGACTGCATAAAAGAAGTCAACAGATATAATTATTATGTTGGCTTTTCTCAGGCAGTCATTTGAGGCTATGTAAGCTATATGATCAGAGAATACAAAAAATGCAAAGTCAAACTGAAAGGTGGAGACAGGTCTTTTCTTGTTTATTCTCTTGGTATATTTTTATATATTATAATAACTTAATAATGTATTTTATTTTATTTTATTTTTTGGGTCTGGTTGTGGGCCTGAACTCTGGGCCTGGGCGCTGTCCCTCAGCTCTTCAGCTCAAGGCTAGCACTCTACCACTTGAGCCACAGCGCCACTTCTGGCTTTTTTCTTTTTGCTTATGTGGTGCTGAGGAATTGAACCCAGGGCCTCATGCATGCAAGGCAAGCGCTCTACCACGGAGCCACCTTCCCAGCCCCTTGATAATGTATTTTAGATACCACTGAAGCATTTCTCACTCAGTATTGTCTTGAGCTAGCATTCTTTTTTAAAATTATTATTTCTGAGAGATTCTTTCTGTGTTTGTTAACTTCACAATCTCTATTTTGTTTCTCATGTTTCCCATGGCAAGCCCTCCTTCATTACATTTTTTGTGCATTTATAATGATTCGGTTTTCAGTTCATGATTCAGAGGCATAAAAGTATAAGTTCAGATTTAGTCATCTGATATAATATTGATCAGTTTCTCTATCTTAGGTTCATGCAAAATTGCTAGCCTTTGTAGGACGTTTCAAATGGTATATACATGTTAAGGTTGTGCTTCTAACTAAGCAAATTTAAATTCTGTAGCAACTTAGGAAACACTACTGTGCTTTATTGAAAACCATTTCATGTGTCTAGTCTTTTGCCTTTCATCAAATTATCAAATTATCTTCTAATTTATTTAGAGGGAAAGTAATCATAAATAATAATTCTGAAAGGGAATGTGTCTCAGCTTTGGCTACTTCACCACATAAGTCTTCTCTAGGATTTTGCAATTAAATATTTTAAATAAAGATACTTTTGTTAGAAGTGTTTAAAAAACATCTTGGTCAATGTAAGTAGAACTGTGCTTTGAAGAAAGATTGATGGGGAAATGACTAACTACATGATTGTATTTAAATATTTGTACTGTCAAATTGAAATTAAGGTATTTTTGAGGCATATTGGTCTAGGCTTCTATTATCATGGAGTCCTCAGTGTCCTTTACATGGTTTCTGATACTGGCAAGTAATCAGGAAATACCTATAAGAGCACTACATGGAATCTTGCAGTTACTGAGCTGTTGATCATCCAGTTATTATTTAAGAAAAGCTTAGTTTAAAACTTAAAGCATTATGTTAACCGTATAACTGAAAAGTAAGTTTTACTTTAGATACAGAAAAGGAGATAAAGACAGATTAGGTGAAACATACAATATATTTTATTTTAGACTATATTATTAGAGACAAAATATCAAAGTAAGTTTAAATTATGCTTGACATTTAAAATTACTAAGTGAAACTCGACCTTTCAAGCCATCCTAGTTTTAAGGACATTAAAGATTCTCTGGCCTTCCTGGTAACACCTCTTCTATGAGGACTGCATGATTTGAACTCTTCTCTCAAAGACTGGCCATCATCCTTGCTGAATACACCTTTCTTATGTTTTGTTTGGCCTATTTATTGCCTCATCCTCTTAATTTATTTGGAGTTTTCATCTTGGTGACCTTTTGACTTTAATCAAAGGTCACTTTCTTTTTGGAAACTTTATTCCTACCTTGGAGTTTAAAATCGGATATATTGCTCTATGACTACAACTTCCATTTTGGAAACTGATGGCATTTGTCAAGAAATTTCTTCAACTACCCTGCAGTCTTGTGTTCTGCAGCTATGCTTTCCTCAGTGAGGATTGGGTCAGTTTCAGGGAGAAAGTTCATCTTTGGTGAATATATTGCTCATCCCAAATGACTATTATACCATAGATCTTTGTCACATAATATGGTTCCAAGGAGACATTGAGTAAAAAATGAATGCTTTTAATGCATAGAGCTCAGTACCTACTTCAGATGATTCATTCATATTTTTCTATGCCACTAGTTTCTGCTAAAGACATGCTACCTTTCAACAGATTTAAAAATTATACTTTATCACTTAAATTAACTTTATTATTTGATCTTTATCCCATTTTTACTTTTCTTTTTGGGCAGCATTTGCTTTTAGGAAGATGTTTTCACAAAATTAAGAGCAAGGAAACACTAAACAGATTACACACTTTAAATATAGATGATGATAAAGTAGGCCTGACTAGAGCTTCTCTGTATCATTTGAGCTTTATAATTACACTGTAATTAATTTGTCTGCTTATTTATTTTACTCAGTCAAAACTGCCTATAATAAATCCTATGAATAAGGTGGGCTGACTAAAGATTAGAGTTCCTTTTGTTTTTTCTTGGTGGTACTGGAATTTGAACGCAAGGTCCTCAGCCAAGCGAGTCAAGTCTTCTGCCAGTTGAGCCACCTCACTTTTAGATTTAGAGATTCCTTTAAGTTACCTTTTACTTTTTAAGGGATATTATTATAGTGTTTTATTTTTAATACATCATAACAGCATAATTTTTTTTTTTTTGTTTTTTTTGGGTCCAGTTGTGGGCCTGAACTCTGGGCCTGGGCGCTGTCCCTCAGCTCTTCAGCTCAAGGATAGCGCTCTATCACTTGAGCCACAGCACCACTTCCGGCTTTTTTCTCTTTGCTTATGTGGTGCTGGGGAATCGAACCCAGGGCCTCATGCATGCAAGGCAAGCGCTCTACCACTGAGCCACCTTCCCAGCCCAACAGCATAATTTTTTTAAAAAGCAAGCTTTTTTTTTTTAACATAATGTGGTGTATTAAGTATCAAGGTCAGATAGTTTAGTCTTGATTGAACTTTTATCATTACTTTTTTTGTTTGTTTGGGTCAGTCCTGCGGCTTGAACTTGGGGCCTGGACACTGTCCCTGAGCTTCTTTTACTCAAGGCTAGCACTTTCCCTCTCGAGCCACAGTGTTACTTCTAGCTTTTTTTGTTTATGTGGTACTGAGGGATTGAATCCAGGGCTTCATGCATGCTAGGCAAACACTCTGCCGCTAAGCCACATTCCCAGCCCTATCATTAACTTTTTGATATGTGGAAAAACCCAAACTAATCTGTCACCTCATTTCATCTATTTTCTTTAACTTCTCAATATGAGCATGAATTCAGAATTTTTCTACAGTATAAATGTATCAGATATATAAATCAGCATTTTAGTTTAATTGCTTTTTACATTTTCAGAAAGAATATGAGTGAATTTTTGATACTATGATGCTTGGAGTATATTTTCCTTTTTGCTTATAAGAAATCAGTGCTTTTAATCTGTGTTGAGTTTTACTCTCAAGTAGCCAGGTTATTTAAACCTGTAAGTGAATTGCCGACAAAAGTAAGAATTTTTGAGGTGTTTTGAAATTTCTGGCCATTTATTTACAACCTATATAATATGGTTCTGAGAACTGCAGCTTGCCATCTCCCTGTTTTCTTAACTGCATTATATATTTTTAAATATTCCATTGTATTATACATCAGATCTCTCTGATCCACCTCTCCCCTATTTTTTCCCCTACACATATACACATATATTTAGTTCTTACAGTTTGCGTATTAAAAATTATTTGAAGCTTTAAAATTTAAACAAGTTTTAAGTGATTATTATATTTCTAAAGAGCACATCTATTTGTTTTATAGCTACTGGAAGGAAATTTTGCCAAAGAAGTCAGTCATGAAATGGATGGACTTATTTTTCAGCCTACTGGAGTAAGTTTATTTATCCTTGATGTGTGTGTATGTATGTGTGTGTGTTTGTGTGTGTGTGTATACATGCAAGCATACATGTGCTTATGCTTGTACCTGTTTGTACTGTGTACATATATTTGGAAAGTACCTTTTCCTCATACTTATTTACTACTGTTGTACTCCTTTCCTTTAAAATTGTTCAGTTTTGGAAGATTTTATTTATAGCTAAATATATAATTCTAAACACTTGTCTTATTTTTACTTAGTGAAAGAAGTAGACATTATACAATATCACTTTTCAATAAATTCATTTTTTTAAAATGATTAATTTTATTATAATTCTTGCCAAGTTAGTATCACTTTATATTATTTTACTAGAAACCTACCAGTAACATTAAATGAATTACTTCCTTTGGTTGATGAGTATTAATATCTCTTAAAACTTTGTTTTGCTGTAGGGTAGGTAAAATTCAAGGAGTTGTCAGCTACTTGAAAATAAAAATTTTCTACCGTTTTTTTTTTTTTTTTTTTTTACTGTTGGTACTGGGGTTTAAACCCAGGGCCTCATGTTTACTCTGTCTCCTTGCTCAACTTGTACTCTACCATTTTAGTCACATCTCCCATCCTCCTTTTTTGCTGATTATTTTGGAGATGTAGCCTAGTGGACTTTAGTGCTTGGGTTGGCTTTGGATCGGTTTTGCATTAAGATCCTACAGATTTTCTGAATAGCTAGGATATAGGCATGAGCTAGTGGCATCCAGGAGAATTTAAAAACATTCTGTGTTGAATTTCTGAGATGCCCTGGAGGACTTTCATCAACTTCATTATCATCATATATTTGGAGTAAGTTATATTTTACTGTATAGGCCTGAAAAATCTTTGCTCTGAGAGCTGGCTTACATAGCTGTTCAACAGCATCTTTGGTCTCTACTTATTAAATGCCAAGAAATTCCTCTCTTTGTTCCCATTTAATAACCACTGGTGCTCTGTATTGGCACATAAAGGAGAATTACTTTTACCTAGGAAATTGTCAGAAATACAACTCATTCCAGAAGTACTGATTAGGAATTCTGGGGAAAGTATCTAGCAATCTGTGTTTTAACACGCTCTTGAAGAAATTTTTTTTTTTTTGTCAGTCGTTGGGCTTGAACTCTGGGCCTGGGTGTTGTCCCTGAGTTCTTCAGCACAAGGATAGTGCTCTATCACTTGAGCCACAGCATCACTTCTGTCCGTTTTTTCTGGTGGTTTATTGGAGATAAGAGTTTCACAGACTTTCCTGCCCAGGCTGGCTTTGAACTGTAATTCTCAGATCTCAGATTCCGAATATCTAGGATTACAGGTGTGAGCCACTGGTGCCTGGATCTTCGAAGAAATTCTGATGAGTGTTCAAGATGAGAATCATGCATCCTATAGGAAAGAGTAGATTGTGTAGTACTGTCTTTCATCATTTCTTCTTTTTTGCTTTCACTCATTGCCCTTAGAAATATAGTCTGAGCTAGTTGAGAAGTAATACATAGAGTTGCTTAAGAAGTTTAATATACGGAAGTTATATAGAAAGTGGCTAATTGGAGGAAAGAAACCTAATATTTTGCAACTATGTTTAAGTAGTGGATTTTATTAGTTTGGATATATAGTAAAATTTCTAATACAAATTTTAATACCATGTAATTGACTTGTTTACTTCCCAGGCTCCATAGCCAAATAGAAGGGGGAAAAATCTTACCTTCCGTGCTTGAGATAGGAGATGAAGAGAGCTAGAAGCTGGGGACAGAAATAATTTGATAGAAAATCCCATTTTAGGAAGGTGGAAATTGGATTTTGATGTTCTCATATTTTCTAGGCTCACTCTTCCTAGAATTAAAGAAGAATTAAAGAAGTAAAATCTAAATATAACAGAAACAACAGAACATTTCAGTGTCTGAAACTTACAGTTTGGACTTGTGTACATATAAGGTTTTGGCCTATGTAATAGAAATGCCCCGACAAAGGGATGCTGAATAATATCAGTTGATCTATTAATCTATTCCAGGAGTCACACTTTTTATTACAGTGATTTTGTAATTGACATCTGGTAAGACTGTAAACAAGGCAGTCCCTTGCCTTGTACTACTTAGGGGGTCAATAATTTTCTGTAGGAAATTGCTTTATTTCCATATATCAACAAAATCTATGGTCTTTCCTACAAGACCTATTTATTTTCAGTACTAAAGAAGAATAGGATGGAGGCTCTTTAATTCCATCAATACCTTTCACTCCTTTTCTCCATTGGTTTCTACTCACTAAATGCCAGGAAATGTTCTTCTTTATCCCCCACTTTGTAATCACTAGTGTTCTGTATTCAATATTTGTTTTTATGGTAATAAAAATATTGTTTCCAACCCAGTCAGTGATTCTACTGTTAAGTTTTCTTTCTTAGAGAACTTTTTCACCTGTAGTTTCACATTGGTTTCTTTTCATTTATATGATAATCAGTATTTTTTCTTCCACTTTTCAGAAGAACCGTTAAATTTGTTTTCAAAATAGTTTTAAATATATTAGGTTAGTCTTCCCTTCCTTTCCCTTCCCTCCCCTCTTCCTCCTCTTTTCTTCCTTTCCTCCTTTCCCCTCTCTTCCTCTTCCTGTTCCTTTTCCTTTCCCTTTTCCTTTTCTTTTTACTTTGCTTTAACCTGAGAGATTCCTTCTAAAACCTTCTAATAGCTAGTCTTACTATTTGTAGAGTTTTCTTTCTCAGATTCCTTTTTATTCTCTCATCCTAGATATCCCATACCCTGTTTGCTGCTTTACTGATTTGAATGCCCTTGGAAACCTGAATCTTTAGGAACAATTCCTCATGTATGGATTCTGTTTTAGCTGTAAATCAAGATGGAGTGCTATTCTGACCATTCTTAGACCTGCTCATTACATTCTACAACTATGATTCTGACCTCTGGCCTTATATACGTACATACATACATACATACATACATACATACATACATGCATACATACATATGTATATATATGAAAGGTTAGCAAAAAGGCATAGTAAACCTTTTAGCTCATGAATCATGGCCTAATTGTCAGAATTTGTAGAAGTCTTAGATTTACATGTTTACATGTTTAATTTTATTGTTTTTCTTCTAAGATATTGCTATCTACTTTTCCTTCTCTTTAAAGATCCACTTATTTTTATGGCTGTACCTATATGGGTTCCCAAATGTACCCTTTTTTTCCCCTGGGTCCTGGGGCTTGAAGTCAGGGCCTGGGCTCTGTCCTGAGCCTCTCTGTTCTCAAGGCTAGAGCCACAGCACCACGTACAGCTTTTTCTGTTTATGTGGTACTGAGGAATTGAACCCAGGGCTTCATGCACATTCGGCAAGCATTCTTACTGCTAACCTACATTCTCAACCCCCAAATGAATCTTTGACACGGCTTTTATTTTGCCTCTACTCTTTTATTCCCTCATTATACATATTTGTACTAAGGATGTATGTGTGTGTGTGTGTGTGTGTGTGTGTGTGTGTGTGTGTGTGTGTGTGTGTGTGTGTGTGTGTGTGTGTGTGTGTGTGTGTGTGTGTGTGTGTGTACTGGGACCTGAACTCAGTGCCTAGAGCTGTCCCTTGACTTTTATCAGTCAAGGCTAGCACTCTACCACTTGAGCCACTTCTAGCGTTTCGTTGGTTTATTAGGGGTAAGAGTATCGTGGACTTTCTGCCCAGACCAGGCTTCAAACCAAGATCCTCAGATCTCAGCCTTTTGACTAGTTAGGATTACAGGCATGAGCCTCCTTGCAACAGAGAGCCTGTTTTTAAATGGTGACTAAGATCTCTTAGGTAGGTTTGTACTATTTATTTTTGTTTCTAATTTTTTAATTGTTAGTATAAAGGTGATGTGCAGAGGGGTTATGGTTATGTAAGTCAGATAAGGAGTACATTTCTTTTTGGGCAATGTCACCCCTTCTCTCACTCTCCCATTTTTTTCCTTCCATTCCCCTCCCACAGGTTGTATAGTTCATTTTCAACATAGTGTCCATTGCTACATTTGTTCACCCTTTGTGTCTCCATTTCTGTGCCTCCCCTTACACACCCAAAGACATGTAAATGAGCAAACAGAACAAAAAGAAAACAAAAATAAAAAAAAGAAAACAAAAAGGAAAAAAAATCTTGTTTACATTTCCTGGAGTTCAATTTGTTGACTGTTGTTTTGATCAGATGCATGTAAGCAGTGTGCCTTTCTGTTCCTCTCCTAAGAGTATCCTCCTTTGGTCTCACTGTGTGTGAATGCCTAGAGATCTATATAATTTATTATGTCTTGGTATATATTAGATATAGCTTCTGCATATGAGAGAAAACATGCATAATTTGTTGCTCCAAGCTTGGCTTACCCTACTTGACAAAATTTGTTTTAGGTCCATCCATTTCCCTGCAGATGACATAATATTATCCTTTCTAATGGCCGTGTAAAATTTCACTGTTTATAGGTACCATACTTTTAGATCCATTCATCTATTGTAGGACAGTGGGGCTGTTTCTACAACCTGGCTAATGTGAATAATGAAGCAGTGAACATGGGTGTGCAAGTATTTTGCAGTATTCTGGCTTGTGATTTTCTGGGTAGATGCCTAGGAGTGTATGACTGGGTTGTTGGAAGATCTATTTTTAGTTTTTTGAGGAACCTCCAGACTGCTGTCCAGAGTGGTTGTACTAGTTTACAGTCCCACCAGCAGTACAATAGGGTTCCTTTTTCCTCACATCCCCACCAGCATTTGTTGTTGTTTGAGTTCACATTGTTGGCCAATCTAACTGGGGTGAGATAGAATCTCAGAGTTGTTTTGATTTGCAGTTCCTTTTTTTTGTTGATTGTGGGGCTTGAACTCTGGGCCTGGGTACTATCCCTCAGCTCTTCAGCTCAAGGTGAGCACTCTACCACTTGATCCACAGCGCCACTTGCCACTTCCGGTTTTCTGAATGGTTTATTGGAGATAAGTGTCTCACAGACTTTCCTGCCTGGGCTGGCTTTGAACTGTGATCCTCAGATCTCAA